GCTGGTCCCCAGGGTTTGGGAGGTGGGTGAGGACTGCGGGCACAGGAGGTTGTGCTGCTGTTAAAAACAGGCGTAAAGGAAGTTTTATGTGTAACCTTCAGGGGAAGGTGCTCTGGCAGTTCCCCAGGAGATGGGCTAGGCTTTAGGTGCCCCGGCCCCACGGGATTTATCTCTATTTGGGGGGCTGCTGAGGGGAATGAGACCTTGTGCGGTGGTAGCAGCGGGTTCTTCTGCTGGGCTGCCTTTTAGAATATTAAAAAGAAGACTTGCTTTGGGCAGCAGGTTTTTATGACTGGGAAACTAGAGTTTTTAATAACTTAGGGTGTAAAAACACTGAGGTTCCCATTCTGGAGCAATGCCAGTACCAGGTGCATCTAAAACCCACAGAGTTGTGGTAGCAAATGCAGGTGGGAGCAGCAGACTCAAGGCACCTGTGGTACCAAATGCACCTAAAAGCAGCAGACTCAAGGCACCTGTGGTACCAGATCTACCTAAGAACAGCAGAATGAAGGTGCCAGCTGCCGCTAAGGCGTTGAATCCTCGAGATTTTGTGTGCATTCAGGCTTTGCCTGGCTTTGGCCAGAAGGAAGGAAAGGTCTTGGCCAGAAGCAGAACGATTTACAGAAGCAGTGAACCTCCAAGAGAACAAGTGTTCTGGGAAAACTACTATAGGAGGCAGAAGCAATTCACACAGGGACACTTCACGCCTATTGGGAAGCCTTATCGGGAGCTTGGAGAGCTTCTCTACATGGACCCGAAGAACCTCACCCTCTACTCCTTGGGGCAGCTTGCACAGGTAGGCCTGACTTTCCTGGTTCCCCTTTAAATAGAAGGGAGGCTTTTCCTCAAGGTAAATTGCAAGCCCCTGTTCCTAGGGAAAGGAATCATTATTTCTGTTTAAAGAAGTGTTTGAAACAGTGTTCCATGCCTTCCTGTGAATAACCACAATCTGATATAATATTTGATGATGGTACAGAGCATTTGTAAGTAAAGTGGGACTGCCTTGATGTGTATATTGTGATTTGGGAACTGGCTTTTGAAACTGGTCTTTAAAGTTCTTAACGAGAGCACTTAAGATGGAGCAGAGACAATAGCAGGCTAATGAATGAAAAGGAAAAGATGACATAATGGGAATGTACTTAAAGGAAAATGCCCAGTGAAGGTAGCAAGCCTTGAAAATGGAAGGAGAGGAATCATACTGAGGGCATGAGCGTAAAGGAGTTGAGGGGTGGGTAAAAAAAGCTTGAAAGTTGAACATAAGAATGGTATAAAATGTAAAGTGTTCATAACACAACTTACATAAGTAGGGATGGCTTCGGAGGTTGTGGATTAATTACTTTGTATTTTACTTTGCATCTGTATTGAGTTTCAGGAAGGTGTAAGGGTATTAGCCAGGAATGTCTGTGATAGCTTGATTGTTTGAGTGGTTATTCTTTCCTGTTCTCTTTAGTGCTGCATACCCACTCTGGGGGTCTTGAACTGTCTCAAATTGCTTTTAAGTCAGGCTTGAATCGTTAAACCACAGGGACAAGAACTCTGTCACTGATTCTTGAGATGAGCTTGCTGTGTTCTGCCATTTGTTTTCTTTTCCTCAGTGCTGTTGGCTCACGCAAGGAGGTCTGAAGTTCTCTGAGTTTTCTGTGCTGTTCTGTGCAGAGAGCGATTTTTCCTGGTGGAAACAGTGAAGTCTCTCCAGCCTATCTGTAACATCAGGCTCTGTGACTTTGAGCCTACACTTTGCTCGGTGCTTTCTAATGGAGTGCCCAAGGGATAGTCTCTGACAGCTGCAGCAGAAGCAGTGTGGTTATTATTCAGGGCAGGCAGAAAAGATTCTGTCCACCCAGTACTTAATTTTCTGCTCTGATTGTACGAGTTGCATTCCAAGCTTAAAGTTTTAGATTAAGTGTTTTAAGCTCTAAATAGACAATGCGTGACATTCGCTTTATTTTCACATACAACCTAAGGCAGCATCTTGCTGGTTGTCTTCATTCACAGGCTTGTTTCTGTAAATTAATCAGTCTAGCAGGTGTTGCCAGTATTCTTGTTTTGACCCTTAACTTCTAAAGCATCTTTCCTTCTGAATATTAGAAGTTGCTTTAAAGATTTTTCAACTCTTTAAAATTCTGATAATTCTGAAAATGTTGGTTAATTTGTGGTGGTGGTAGTTTTGGTATTGAAAAATGTCAGGATTTGACCCTTAGGTGTGCTCTGAAACCAGTTGAAATTCAAATACTTAACTTGACCAAATCAAAAGTATACAATTTATACAGGAAAATAAACTATACGTAGGTCACTGTGTGGTTGTGGCTTATGCTTTAGATTCATGAAGCTATCAGAGGGCATGTAGTCACATTTGTCATTCCTTTTTGTGGAGAGCATGGCTAAAAGCACTACACAGTCTTGAAAATCTCAGACTGAACACTTTTTTTTTTCTTAAAAGATAAGTTTACTAAGTTGAAAAATTAAAAAAAAATTAAAACCACTTAAATTTAAAAAAAAAATAAATAGTAATTTAAAAAATCCTGGTAATGAGTCTGACCAGTCCTCTGCTTCCCTCCATCCCCACAAACTGGGGAAGGCCCAGAGATTTTACACTGCTCACACACCAACTCTCACTATTTAAGCTGCCAGCATGCTCTGCAGAAACAGATTCCTGTGTTATTCAGAGATATTAGAACAGAAATGTATTTCTGTAGCCGAATTCTAAAAATACTTTTTATTGTCGGTATTTTTGCTTTATATGGGTTATTTACCCCATTCCCACCCACACCTAGCAGTCTCCATAATATTTTGAATAACTGAGAAGACTGTAGATACTGGGTATGCCTAATTATAGGTGTCTGGGAGCATACCGTTCCTAGTAGTAAAAATCATGATCTTGGATTAATGCATTTGCACTCCTCTCTGCCTTCTGAGTTAGCATTTTCTTCAGCCACAAGTACAGCTCATGATTTGCAATGATGAATGACAGTAAAATTTGTAAACAACAAGATGATAAAAGCCCTGTGAATTCAGCGTGACTTGAGTATGCTAATATCTACTGGCAAATGCTGCTTTCTAAACTGATATTATTAAAGAAAAATAGATTTTAAGAGCTAAAAACATTTGAGTAAGTATGCTAGGATTGTTATATGAAATGACATGGGCTTAGGATATTATATGTAATAATTGCATGTTTAGGATGCTTTTTTATATACTTGATGGCAACAAATGTGTTCAGAAAAGCTGTATGTTCATGAATGCTGTTTGTATCTTTATTAAGTCAATTGGGTATCTGATAACACGGAGATGATATTTGACTGTTCTCACTGTTGCATTGGAAACTGCTGTTCTGTAGTCGCACAGAGAATGTGGTATCTGTCTTGCATAGTGTTTTCACTGTAAAGCTGGGCCAATGCAGTGGAAGAATTGCATTCCATCGGAACAAAATAAACCCCCTCCAAACTACTGGCAATACTGGTGAGGGGTGGGGGAAGCTCAGGAAGTGTAGCACTTGTGTTTAAAAA